TACCTACAAACATATGATGTAATTTGGTGATTATTTAATGAAATTAAAGAGAAATCCATGCTAAATGTTAAAACGTCTCTAATTAACTTATTCGGATCATAACAAATATCTATTTTAACGGATTTATGTATGCGCTGTGAAAAAATAAAATTCATTGGACAATTGAATTGGATTCGGATCACATTTTTTAAATCAAATTTGGATCGAATTTATATTGTTTAGAAATAAAATAATCAAAAATCAAACAATTAATTTATTATTTGAATTAATTCAATTAACAAAAAAATAAAAAATTTCTCAGAAAAATGATAAAAGTAGACATTATAGAATTTTTTAAGAATAAATAAGAAAATCAAAAATTTTTCTCTTAAATCACTTTAAAAGGGATAAAGTAGACATTATAAAATTATTGAAGAATAAATAAGAAAATCGAAATTTTTTCACTTAAGTTACTTTTATTGNAATCACTTTAAAAGGGATAAAGTAGACATTATAAAATTATTGAAGAATAAATAAGGAAATCAAAATTTTTTCACTTAAGTTACTTTTATTAGTAGTATGGATATAGATTAGTGTGCGTAGACCATAGCACAAGTGATAAGAAGTTAGCATCTGGATAGATGGATTTGTACTCTTGGCTGAGGAGTTGTTTTGTGGACTTATAAGAAAAAGACATGTATTTCACACTCTTCAATGGAATCCGAACTCATAGTATCGGTGATAAACTTAAATTAAATCTAAAAAATTATANCTGAGGAGTTGTTTTGTGGACTTATAAGAAAAAGACATGTATTTCACACTCTTCAATGGAATCCGAACTCATAGTATCGGTGATAAACTTAAATTAAATCTAAAAAATTATAATTTAAATGCATTGCATCTCTTGAATGAGTGGACTTTATCAATTTTTTTAGTAGGATTCACTCATCCCATACTCATCTAAGGGATGATATGCATTTGAGTTTTAATTTTTATATTTCATTTGGGTTATATAACATTTTTCTATTTTTAATATGAAATGCATATTAACCCAATTCCATTAATATTATAGATATCAAAACCATTCAACTTCTTCCATTTAAAATACAATATTAATCACTATGCTTATTTTTTATTTGTTTCTTTTTATTTGTTAACAACCAATCAAATGAATTTTCATATTAAATAGCACAAAGATAATTGTAGCCTTATTTAGTATAGAATTCATATCAATACAACTTTGATAATATTATTTGAATCATAAGATTTAATCAAAGTTACTTATTTCCTTTCTACAACTCAACTTTCTTTGTTCTATTTATCAAATTGGTTCAACCATATTTTTTATAATTTTAAGCCACCATCTCCTAATACCCTTTTTCCTCCCTGCATTATTTTACATACCTAATAAGTTTAGGCGATTCTTTTAATATATTAGCAGAAGAATTATACTTTGACCTCCTCAATTATGACCCATTTTTTCACATTACCCTCTCATCATCTTTTTCACAATGTACCCTTATCTATGCGATTAGTTTTACATTGCCCTAATTACTAACATTCGTTACATATTTAACGGAAAGTTATTTTAGTTTTCACCTTGAGCTATGTAATTTTTTTTTTTCACTTTGCCCCAACAAGTTGGCAATTTCCATAGAAAAAGATAGCGAAAGTTTACAATTGAAGTAATATCAAATAATTCGAATAGTTGAGTGGGCAATGTGAAAAAAATTCAATAGTTCAAGGGACAGTAAAATTGAGTTCATAATTTAGGGGTCAAGTGTAGTTTACTCTATTAACGGTATATTAGTTACAATGAAATGTATTTGAACTATTAGCATGATATTACTGCTAAACTAATCTAAATTATTAATTTCAAGTGAAAATTTCTAAATCCTAGGAGATAAAGTTTTCGTGAGAAGATAACGGCTCAAAACGTTAAGAGGTAAGGAAAAAGAAAATAAACATACTGATTTCCTTATCCTTATATTTGTATACTCAAAAAAAAAAAAAAGGATTCCACTATAACATGAACTAAAAGTGTGTGATAGTATAATTTATTGGGAGAATTACACCCAAGCCTTATGAGATTTGTCACTTAATCACCCAGACCTCCTGACATTTGTAATATTATACACAAACCCTCTGATGTTCGTACGCGCGTAACACTTAAACCCCTATCGGTAATGTCGGTTAATATATCTGTTACCCCCTGAGGTTTGTACGCGTATAATACTTAAACTCCTGTTGTCAATGTTAGTTAATATATTTATTACCCCTGAGGTTTGTATGCGCGTAGCACTTAGACATCTGTCGTCAATGTCAGTTAATATGTATGCTAGTAAATTATATTCAGACCCCTTGAAGTTTGTAAATGTATAATATTTATACCTCTCAAATTTAAAATGTTATACTTAGACCAAAAATACTCCAATCAAAGATAAAATATCAAATATTTTAAATTTTACAATCAAAATTCATGTTTTATTATATCATTTATTGAAATAAAATCAAAAATAAAAATCTATTTTTTTTCTTAAAAAATTGTAATTAATATACAATTATACTATTTATTGGAATAAAACTAAAAAATCAAACAAGTGGTTTAAGTCATTCATAATAGAAAATGAATTTTACAATCAAAATAATTTATGTTCTAAAATGTCATTTATCCAAATAAAATTAAAAATCTTTTAAAATAAAATCAAAAGGGTAATTAGTATACAATTAAACTATTTATTGGAATAAAACTAAAAGATCAAATAAAGGGTTAAACTGTAATGGATACAACATCTTCTAACTTTGATTGAGATAATTTGGTAGTTTAATTTAGTCATTTCAACGACTAAATTAAATTTCAATAGATAATATAATTGTATATAATTACGAATTTTTTCTTAAAAAAAAATAAAATTTTATTTTTGATTTTATTTTAATAAATGATACAATAAAACATGAATTTTTGTTGTAAAATTTAAAATATTGATATTTTATCTTTAATTGGAGTATTTTTTTATCTAAATATAATATTTTAAACTTGAGGGGTCTAAGTATTATACACCTACAAACTTTAGAGGGCCTGAGTGTAATTTCCTAAGGATATATTAACGGACATTGATGGCATAGGTCTAAGAGTTACTTGCGTATAAACCTCAGGGGTCTATGTATAATATTTTAAAATTTAAGGGATCTGAATAATTAAGTGACAAATTTTAAGGAGTTTGAATGTAATTCTTCCTAATTTATTGTTATAAGCCAATACTTGTACTTACTCACTAGAAATTATGTCAAACATTCATAATTGTTTTATCAAACTTACTCACATTATTTATGTGATTTAGATGACGTTCATGAATACATAAAAATAAAACTAAAATTGAAATTATAAAATAAAATAATTTACATGCAACGTACATGTATACTTACTAGTTACTGATAAGTTGTTATCATGACAGTAAAAACTAATTCTCTACTACGCAAAATCGACTCCAGGATATTGAGTGCTTATTGTTGTTTTACTTGGGATGAGTTTATTACTCTTAATTAAGATTTTTTCGATATTCAAACTTTCACATTTCAACCTCGAGTATTAGATACTTAATTAGATCGCAATAGCATTATCCTTTAAACAATAACTATAGAACGAAGACACCTCTGGTTTGGCAAAAGTACACTCACAATTTATTCTTAGCATATCATTCAATGTTTAGGAAATAAATCTCCCTTATCTTGAAAGGGGCTATACAGCAAGATTATTTGTCCAAGTATTAAAGTATACATAGATGCTCACATATCACAAAGAACAGAAATGGTGAAAGATTTTTTTATTTTAACAAGTCAAAGATCGAAAGACACATAACTTATGTTAAAGGGTTAATAGTAGTTTTAGTTCGGTATATTTATTTTGTTAGTTTTGTCCTCAATGAATTAATTTTATCAATTTGACCCCTATAGTATACAATTCGTGTATAAACAGTCCCTCCATAGATAAGTTGCTAAGATTTTGACGAAAATGATCACATGATATCGTCTGAAAGAATGGTACAAAGTCATTTTCGTCGAAAAACTAACGGTCCGTCTGTGTAGAAACTATTTAAACGTGAATTGAAAACTTCAAAGACAAAATTAATAGATTCAGGATCAACTGATAAAACGAACATACTTTAAGAACCAAAAGTACTATTAACCCTATGTTAAAATAAAAATGTCATGTTATGTCCAAAAATGACCATCCACGACGCCACTAAAGTGTTGTTTGCAAGGGCGAATCTAAATGTAGGGTATATTTAGAATTTCAAAAAATTTAAGACTTTGCCCCCAGTGAAATATTATCAAAGTTCAAGGGTAAGTTTGTATTTTATAAACAAGTGTGGCATCATTTATCTTTGGTAGACTTTTAGCTGTGTGCTCATATGTCCGCTGATAACATTAGGATTTTCTATAAAATTAATAAAAAATTATGGAATGATCCCAATTACCAAAAAAATATGAAGTGATCTTGGCGTTCATATGCTTGACTTTTTAGATTTAATAGTTTTAAACGAAACAAAAATTTAATTAATTATAAACAAATTTGAATAGACAGTCAGAATAGTGGATACACCAACACGGTGTCAATTTGAATCACATTCAATTTCTTTTTTCTAAGGACGTCAAAATATTTTTTATTTAGATAAATGTGATAAGCTATTTTTTGGAATTTCATAGTTGATCTTAAATTAAAATAATTGATTTTAATATTTATGATTGATCTCAAGTATCTCAAAACTTATAATTTGATCATAAAAAATTATAACTTTAATCCTAAAAGTTAAAACATGACTCGTAAAAGTTATAATTTAATAGAATTTATTATTTTTCTTTTTCTCTTTTTTGTAAAAAAATTCAAAAAATTATATAACAACCCACGACGCTTATAAACTCCACTACCGTAGCCCCTTTGATATCAAAGTTGAATTTCAACTCTAAATATTATTCATAAACATGACACAAAATTAACGACTAATTAAGTTGCCCCACAACTAAAAAAGTCTGGCTCCTGCCCGGGTTGACAACTGCTGAGAAACATCATACATTGTTGGCCTAAATTTTGGATCAACATGTAAACATGTTTTTGCCAATTCTATAATGTATACCACCACTTCTTCCTCAACTTCAAGAGAGGGAGCTGGAAGGCGCTGGTCCAAAACATCTTTCAATTGTATGTTCTCTGCTGATGGAGATAGAAAAGAAGTGATGTAATCCCCCGGATGGTTTCCTTTCATCACTTCCAGTGTCAACACTCCAAAGCTATAGACATCACACTTTTCGGTTACTTTCAATGTCGAAGCAAGCTCTGCAAAAGTAAACTAACAGATGGTCATGAATTTATGTTCTATGTGTTCTATATATCAATTTATAAGAGATGATAGAAAAAAAAAAAAAAAAAAGCCCACATTACCTGGTGCAATATACCCATACGTGCCTGCAAGTGCACTCCAATTCGATGAGTCTAACTTCAGTAGCTTGGCAGTGCCAAAATCCGAAACACAAGCCTCATACTCGGTATCCAGCAAAATGTTGCTACTTGTTATGTCTCGATGCACAATTGGTGGTGAGCAATCATGGTGCATGTATGACAAAGCACGAGCCACTCCCTTGACAATATTCACCCTCTTAGGCCAGTCTAATTTCTTAGCTTCATCTTCTACGCTCAACGTCGTGGACAAGCTACCCCTTTCCAGGTACTCATAAATCAGAAATGAATGTCGAGCATGTGAACAAAAACCAAAAAATTTGACAATGTTTCGATGCCTTATTTCTGTCAATGCCCTTACTTCATTTAGAAAACCTTTATGATCTTCCATCTCAGATAAGGAATGAAGCTTCTTCACAGCTACTATCTTATCCAATGGCAGCGTTGCTTTGTAGACAGTTCCATAGCCTCCCTGTCCGATGCAATATGTGGCATCAAAATCATTTGTGGATCGTAAAATTTCATCATACATTGCTCTCCCATCAAAAGTTGTTATTGAAAACAGATCTTTGGTGTGCATCGTATTCTGTTCCACTTGTGGTATTCTCTTGCTTTTCTTAGCAATGATGAGAAGTATAATGAATGCACACACAGAAAATACAGTTCCAAGAAGGGGGAGCACGATAATGAGAATGAGTTTTTGGCCCGACCTTAATACCTGAGAATGATTTTGGCAAGGTTTCAATCCCGTTATGTTCCCACATAGACCTGTATTCCCTTGCAATTCTTCTATGGAAGCATTCAGAAAGGCTGCGCTATTAGGGATGGGACCGTTGAACTCATTGTAGGCTATGTCAATATGCAACAATCCAGTCATGGTTTCAAAATCCTTTGGAATGAACCCAAAGAGGTGATTATGGGAGAGATTGAACAATTCCAAACTCTGCATACTTTTGATTTCCGATGGTATCTTCCCTGACAATGAATTATGACTCAAATCGAGAATGGACAAGTGAACTAACTTGCCCATCTGAATTGGAATTTCTTGGCATAAATTGTTGTCACTCAAGTTTAAGTAATACAATTGCAACCAGTCACCTACAAATCCTGGTATCGGCCCACTCAATTTGTTTGTGGATAAGTCAAGATACAACAGATCATTTAGTGACCCTAGTTCCTGAGGTATACCACCAGAAAGTTGGTTGTCATTCAAATGCAGCATCAACATAGAAACCAACCTTCCAAATTCCTTTGGAATCTCCCCATATAAATGATTTGAAGAAAGATCAAGCCATTGCAATTGAGGTAAACTTGCTAGCTCCAATGGTATGCTACCTGTGATGTTGTTTCCTGCGATGCAAAAAGTTTTCAATTTTTTGCACCTACCCCAATTATCCGATAGCTCACCATGAAATTCATTTCCACTTAGATTAATGAATTCCAAGTTTGGATAGACACCAAAATCTTCAGACAAATTTCCTGTGAGTTGGTTGCCATCGAGGCGAACTCTCTTTAAGCTTGAGCAGTTGCTTAAGCCTTTGGGGACTGGACCAATGAACTTGTTGGTTACAATCAATCTCTGCAGTTTTCCGCCTTGACAAATTTGTTTTGGCAGATAGCCAAAGAGTTGATTATTGTCTATATTAAGCATAACCAGTTCCAAATTTCCCAATTCTTGTGGGACAAGGCCAGAAAGCTGGTTGTCACAGAGAGATAAAATTTTTAACTCAGTCAGATTACCAAATGAAGCAGGAATTGAACCATTCAGCCGGTTGTGGTGAAATTGCAAATCATTGAGGGATTTCAGGTTTCCTAACTCATTAGGAATGGAACTAAACAGATGATTAGTGTGGAGATACAGAGTATTGAGGGAGCTCAGATTACCCAATGATGTCGGAATTGAGCCAGAAAGGTTGTTTGTATGAAGGCTTAGATTATAAAGCGATTTCAAAGTCCCAATCTCTGGGGGAATGAAACTAGATAGTTGATTATTGAACAAATGTAGCATAGCTAACTTATTCAACTTTCCAAAGCTTGATGGGATGGAACCTATTAGATGGTTGGAGCCTATGTTGAGCTCCACAAGATTAAATAGATTCCCCATTTCTGGAGGGATGGAACCAGAAAGATTGTTTTGATTCAAATATAAATAAGCTAACTTGCTCAAATTTCCCAGAGAAACAGTAATGTTACCAGTGAGATTGTTGCTATACAAAGAAAGTTCAATCAGTGATGTTAGCTGACCTATTTCTCGAGGTATCGATCCGTTGAAATTATTTTCAGCCAAATGGAGGGTCTGAAGATTTTTTAGCAGTCCAATTTCTAATGGGACCATCCTGGAAAGTAGATTGACAGACAAATCAAGATAGATGAGTTTGGAGAGTTGACCTATTTGAGGTGGGATTGGACCAGAGAGTTCATTCAGACTGATATCAAGATACGCAAGATTCGAAAGAGATGAGAATGGAAAGTCATAGAGCGTACCTTGTAGACTTGAAGTTGTGAGGTTCAATCTAACAATGCTTCTATTGTTATTGCATGAAACTCCAAACCAAGTGCATGGGCTGGCACTAGGATTTGGATGGCTTGAAGAATTGGAAGCTTTATTAGGAGAGATAGTCCATGAAGTTAGGCAAGAGCTATTTTGAAGGCTGGCTTTCCATTTGAGGAGAGAAGTAGCTTCTCTAGCAGAAGCAGAAGTAGCATTGGTTGAGCATAAACATATGTGTATTGGGACAAATAAAGCAAGGAAAAAGGCCTTCTCTAATGTTAGAGAACCCATTTATCTTTTGTTCTATGTCTAAATTTCCTGGTTCAAAGCTCTTATTTATATGCTAATTTTCCCACAGGTCTTCACTCTTTTGGCTCAAATTCAGAAAACTAGAGATTTTGGAAGTCTTCCTATTCTCCATTTTCTTTCCACTAGGTCATAAATAGCAAGGAAAATGAGGTCATCCCTAACCTCTAAGTCTTGTCTTCAATAAGGAATGATTACGGCATTGATTCAATAAGAAATTTAGAATTAAATAAGGGTTGCTGAGAATTTATTTGAATTCCAATTATGATTTATAAAGTTCAATTATAACTCAATACCGATAAGTTAGAACTCCGAAAAAAAAAAGTTAATGCTAAAATATGTTGCTAAAATTCCTCGATATTAATTAAGTCATGATTGGTAGTCAAATCCGGAATATATAAAATCTCAACTCATTGGTCAAATATTATATCATTCATGACATATATCATAAATGTATTTTTTATAAAATTATTATATATTATTATTATTTTATAATGATGCATGCATATATATATATATATATATTACATTTATATAATTTAATATTTGGGTTGGATCTTTTCTAATCAAATGAGTGACTTGACTAGTGAAACTCATCAAATAATGAAAAATTAGTCAATCTTACTTAGAGTATAATTAGTCTTCTTTGATTGCAGATGGTTGAAAAAATATTGATGGAATTGAAAAACTATTGAGGGAGTTGAGGATATTATGCTGAGTGATAATGATTGAACGGATAGCCGATACATTCTCCCTTATAAACAAGGTTTTTTTGCAATCACACACGATTATTTGTGTGCAGAACTCTCTAATTTAAGCTTGGACCATGCCAAACACGAGGATATTAACTCCAAGAGATAGCACACATGATAACAAAGACGAATTATGTCCTAAGTTTAAATTTTAACAACTCTTTGAAACTAGGTAATGAAAAATTTATCTCTCGTGAATACTCTAATCTCACTATAAATGGTNGTAGCTCACATGATAACAAAGACGAATTATGTCCTAAGTTTAAATTTTAACAACTCTTTGAAACTAGGTAATGAGAAATTTATCTCTCGTGAATACTCTAATCTCAGTATAAATGGTCTATCTTTACCAGGAGACACCTTGACCATTGAAAAAATTAAAAAAAAAAACAACTATATTAAATTGGCGCATACTCAAACCCAAACCCATCAACCACGACATGTATGGACTCTCGCGTGCAGACTTGAGCATAGGTCCATCTTGCTTCTACGGATTCACCAAGACCACCACCCCCCACCCTCTCTATGGTTTGCTTTACTTTGTTTGAAATTGTGGCTCTCCTTTGTGCTCCGAAAGTGTTTAGTTGGACCTGAGAAACCCGTAATTTTTACGCACATAAAGTTCAAAACTAGATGACTTTGACCTATGCTTTTACTTAAAAAGACCTAATTTGTTGAGGTTTAATGACATTTTTTGTCCTTAAAATATATATTTTTGTATCAATTTGGTCTCTAAAATATACAATTCGTGNGTATTTTTGTATCAATTTGGTCTCTAAAATATACAATTCGTGTCATTTTGGTCTTTAATCAGACAATTTATCAAGTTTTTAACTGAAAGTGATCACTTGTTAATTTTTTAAACGGTATCACGTGTCTTGCATATGATTATTCTATCAAAAACTTAACGATCCGTCTATATAAAAATCAAAATGACACAAATTAAATACTTTAAATACCAAATTAATAAAATTGATATAATAAAGACTAAACTGTTAAAATTGAATTTTATATGGACTTTTGGTCCCTAAAAAACAATTTTACGATTAGCTTCACCATGCGTTTAATAAATTAGGTCCAACTAACATTCCCCTACTTACAAAAAAAAACGTTGTTTCTGAAAAAATGAAGAAAACCTAAAAACACATGGGCAACCCCCCCCCCCCCCCCCCCCCCCCCCCCCCCCCCCCCCCCCGCCNACTATCAATTCAACGATAATAATTAATTAGATTAACGAATTAAATTAATAAATTAAGTCCAACTAGCATTCCCTACTTAAAAACACACTGTTTTTTAAATAATGGTGAAAACCTAATAACACTTGGGCAAGCACCACCTCATCGATGCGAGACATCTGGTCTTATTAGGTATGTCAATAGATCAAATTGAGATTTGAATTTGATTGGAATCTAAATATAATTATTTGGATATAAATTGGTATTTTTTACCGATGACTCTAAATTGAATCTGAATCCGCTATATCAAATTTCATAGATTTTGGTATACCAGTATTTGATTGGATAGTACTTAAATACGAATAATAGGCTGATGTTTATAAACATTAGCAATGCACCATGTGCATTGCTCGTGCCTAATTTTTTTTAAAAATAAAAATTAATTAATAAATATTTGGTATGTGAACTTGAATTAAATATCATTTTAAATTTATCAAACTTATTTTTTTCACTGCTCATGCTCCATTATAGAATTTTTGAAAATTTTGTATATTTTCAAGATTTGTTATTCTAATTTTAAGAAAAATGATTAAAAATAAATAATTAATTAAAGTTTTATTATTTCTATAATTTTGTAATTGAAAGTATTTTTTAGTGATGTTTGAAAATTAAATTTTTAAAATTAATTTGATGAAGATTTCACTTATAAATCATTGAACAAAATAAAAATAATTATCAATATATCAATCATATTAGAACATTACTGTATTTAGGACTAGTTATGTCAATTGAGATAAAATTTAATATGCAACGCTATAATTTAAATTATAAAGCATATTAAAATATTTAAAAAATTCAAGTTTTTACATAAAATCTTAACACAGTTTAAAAAATTTAATATAACTAAAAAATCATGTAAAACTATATATACATTATTTTTTATCTTAAAAATAAAATAGTTTTGATGAAAAATAAAATATACATATGTAGTCATAATATTATTTTTACAAATGAGAGAGTAATATTATATTGATGAAGTTTTTGATGATTTTTTCGAATATTTTGTTAAAAATTATAATGATGTATATATTTTTTAAGAATATTATAATTAATCAAAAACGTTCATAAAATTCCACTTATAAATCATTGAATAAAATAAAATAAATTATTAATATACTAATCATATTAGAACCTTACTGTATTGAGAATTATCTAGGTCTATTAGAATAAAATTTAATATACAATGTTATAATATATATTATAAAACATATTAAAATTTAAAAAAAAAATCAAGTTTTTACATAAAATTTTAACACAGACTGAAAATTTTACTGTGACTAAAAATTATGTAAAGCTACATATACATTATTTTTTATCTTAAAAATGAAAAGGTTAAACATTTTGATAAAAAATAAAATATACATATGTAGTCATAATATTATCTTTACAAATGAGAGAGTAATATTATATTGATGAAGTTTTTGATGATTTTTTCGAATATTTTGTTAAAAATTATAATGATGTATATATTTTTTAAGAATATTATAATTAATCAAAAACGTTCATAAAATTCCACTTATAAATCATTGAATAAAATAAAATAAATTATTAATATACTAATCATATTAGAACCTTACTGTATTGAGAATTATCTAGGTCTATTAGAATAAAATTTAATATACAATGTTATAATATATATTATAAAACATATTAAAATTTAAAAAAAAAATCAAGTTTTTACATAAAATTTTAACACAGACTGAAAATTTTACTGTGACTAAAAATTATGTAAAGCTACATATACATTATTTTTTATCTTAAAAATGAAAAGGTTAAACATTTTGATAAAAAATAAAATATACATATGTAGTCATAATATTATCTTTACAAATGAGGTGAGTAATATTATATTATATTATTGAAGTTTTTGAAAGTTTTTTTTGAATATTTTGTTAAAACTTATAATGATACATATATTTTTTAAGAATAATATAATCAATCAAAAATTTTCATAAAAATTGTCATTTACACATAGAAAATATACAATTAAAAGTGATTTTAGATATAATTTAGAAATTTAAATGCATATAGATATGATAATAATTAGATATTAAGTGCAAAAGGATAGAATGACTTTTTAAATTTTTTATGAGGGTAAAATAGTGAACCAAAAGTTTTCATGTTAAAGTACTTTTATTAGTAGTATAGATATAGATATAGATATAGATATGACAAAATGAAGTGATTATGTAGTGAATTTAGTTGAAATTGAAATGCAATTTACATATAAGAGGAAAAGAGTTATTGCGCTTCTCAGCATTTCCTGCTTGAGTTGTTGACCATTGCCAACTGATTCTCGCCAAAAAAATTCTACATGTGATGTGATGTTCCAAAAATATAAACATGTGATTTAGTAAAATATAACCCATTTGAGATGCAACTATCAACTAGTTTGAAAAGTTCTTCTCTTTAGTAATGGAAGTCATCGGTTGTCACTTTCTAAGGGTAAGATAGAAGCGCTTGAGATGGTGGACAATCTTTCAATGAAGATGTAACAAGATGCTGAATTCAAACATAAAAATTGAATTTCTAATATTTAACTATATCAAATATAAATTGTGAAAATAAAATCTATCAAATGTTTGGATTTATAAGCTCAATTGCATTTAAAATAGAAAGTTCCGCAAAGTAATAGACATTTCCTACACACAAACTGATTGCAATAAACCCAACTTCTACTCACTAATCGCATGAAACCCAATTATCATTGACTATATAAAACTTAAGTTTAATTTTGTTTACAAGTGATCATAAACATTCAAAATATAAATTCAAAGCGCATCGTAAGGCTAATTTTCCAATAAAAAAATGATGACAATGATTTTCTGACAATTAAAACTATTGTGAATAGGAATGGCATGGCAGTGGATCGGGGCAAGGGAGAATTCTTTGCCCCGCAGCCACTTAAAAAAAGTTTTCTCTCCGGTAAAAAATTTTTTTTAAAAAAATAAAAACAAAAGTTAAAATCAAAACCCTCTTTCTCCAATAACAAAAGTTAAAATCTCTACTAACACATCCTTCTTATGTCTCTTAACATAAACAAATTAAAATTAATTAATTTTTTTTAAATTAATATTAAAAATAAAAAAAATCTCATTAGGTGTTTCCACTTTATGCCTCAAATTACTTTGAGCCGTCCCTATCCACATTCATTCCTGCATGGGTTTATACACATATCCCTGTATACATCTACTGTTCAATACATGTTGTCTACCCCAATTCAAACAAGAAAAATTTGAACAAATGCTCATTTTTTTCAATCCACTGTCATCCATAATTGTAAATAACCACCCCCCAATAGTAGCACATACCTCACCCTCGGCTTTAGAAGGCTAGAAACTGATTGTTTTGCTTTTGTGATTATGTCTATTACTCAAAACAGGGCCCTTATAGCACAACAGCACTAAACAAGCACAAAGGGTTCAGACCACACAAAATGAAGTCATTGGCACCCTCTTAGACTTCATCCTTGCCCAAACCTCTCGATACACATCTGAGATGTTCAGACAGACCAGTTCCCACCTGACCTGACTAAAACCCATGCCTTCCTCATCTACATCAATCTTCTCTGCACCCTCTCCATCTTCAAACCAGCAACCACCATTGCTATCCTCAACCACCACATTACGAAGAGCCCACTATGTTACCACATCATTGAAAACACTCTTACCATGGTGATGAGATTGCTCATACAATAATCACAATACACGCCCTAAACAACAGTCAAAATTGAGGTTGGAAGACAATGTCTCGAGAGAGTTCTGAAACTAATGGGTGTAAAAGTTGAACTTAGTTGTGGTCGTGGGAATGGTGGGGCATTCGCGATGATTGTAAGATGCAACTGTAGAGCTCAGTAGTGGGGAAGGTAGGGTATGTTCCTTGGACCAGAAGTTGGTCTAGAAAGGAGGTTACCATGGTGAGTGAGTGGTTGGGTATTGGGCAATGGTGGTTGGCATATAGCAGTAATGGTTTCCAAGGATTTGCACAGGGCTAAACCCAATTCATACTAACAGCAACATAAATGAGCCGAAGAGATGACAAAACAACAAAAAAGTAGTGAGCCTTAACCATATAAATTTGAAGATTTTTAATGAGCCAAAACAAAATGCAAAGCCACAAACATAATTTTCAGACACTGAATCAAAATGGCAGCTGCTCCCCAGACTAGGCTTCACATTTCTCCGCAGCCCCGCAAAAAAATTCAAAACAAAACCAACTAGCGGGGGTTCAAATTAAACCAGCTAAGCACAACTTATACACATCAGGACCCAAGACGACACAAACCTAACAATTATACAATTATAAATACATTGGATACAAATCGAACAAATTTAAGCATGACACAACTTACAAGATTTAAAAACACTATGACAAAGACAGACAAGCAAGCCCTACCCCTTTTTTTTTGGTAGGAAACAAAACAACTTTATTGATTAAAATGATACATCAAAAAGCACTATGGAAGGACAAGATGTCCAACCATGAAGTGGGAAAATAAAAAACCCCAACTAATCAAATTATGAATCACGTGAGGCTTTCCAATCCACTAAAATACAAGAAACCTGATCTTATGGGTAACCACATACCGAGTGGTGACTTGTTTCAATGCCAATTCTTTTTTTNTGTGAATAGGAATGGCATGGCAGTGGATCGGGGCAAGGGAGAATTCTTTGCCCCGCAGCCACTTAAAAAAAGTTTTCTCTCCGGTAAAAAATTTTTTTTAAAAAAATAAAAACAAAAGTTAAAATCAAAACCCTCTTTCTCCAATAACAAAAGTTAAAATCTCTACTAACACATCCTTCTTATGTCTCTTAACATAAACAAATTAAAATTAATTAATTTTTTTTAAATTAATATTAAAAATAAAAAAAATCTCATTAGGTGTTTCCACTTTATGCCTCAAATTACTTTGAGCCGTCCCTATCCACATTCATTCCTGCATGGGTTTATACACATATCCCTGTATACATCTACTGTTCAATACATGTTGTCTACCCCAATTCAAACAAGAAAAATTTGAACAAATGCTCATTTTTTTCAATCCACTGTCATCCATAATTGTAAATAACCACCCCCCAATAGTAGCACATACCTCACCCTCGGCTTTAGAAGGCTAGAAACTGATTGTTTTGCTTTTGTGATTATGTCTATTACTCAAAACAGGGCCCTTATAGCACAACAGCACTAAACAAGCACAAAGGGTTCAGACCACACAAAATGAAGTCATTGGCACCCTCTTAGACTTCATCCTTGCCCAAACCTCTCGATACACATCTGAGATGTTCAGACAGACCAGTTCCCACCTGACCTGACTAAAACCCATGCCTTCCTCATCTACATCAATCTTCTCTGCACCCTCTCCATCTTCAAACCAGCAACCACCATTGCTATCCTCAACCACCACATTACGAAGAGCCCACTATGTTACCACATCATTGAAAACACTCTTACCATGGTGATGAGATTGCTCATACAATAATCACAATACACGCCCTAAACAACAGTCAAAATTGAGGTTGGAAGACAATGTCTCGAGAGAGTTCTGAAACTAATGGGTGTAAAAGTTGAACTTAGTTGTGGTCGTGGGAATGGTGGGGCATTCGCGATGATTGTAAGATGCAACTGTAGAGCTCAGTAGTGGGGAAGGTAGGGTATGTTCCTTGGACCAGAAGTTGGTCTAGAAAGGAGGTTACCATGGTGAGTGAGTGGTTGGGTATTGGGCAATGGTGGTTGGCATATAGCAGTAATGGTTTCCAAGGATTTGCACAGGGCTAAACCCAATTCATACTAACAGCAACATAAATGAGCCGAAGAGATGACAAAACAACAAAAAAGTAGTGAGCCTTAACCATATAAATTTGAAGATTTTTAATGAGCCAAAACAAAATGCAAAGCCACAAACATAATTTTCAGACACTGAATCAAAATGGCAGCTGCTCCCCAGACTAGGCTTCACATTTCTCCGCAGCCCCGCAAAAAAATTCAAAACAAAACCAACTAGCGGGGGTTCAAATTAAACCAGCTAAGCACAACTTATACACATCAGGACCCAAGACGACACAAACCTAACAATTATACAATTATAAATACATTGGATACAAATCGAACAAATTTAAGCATGACACAACTTACAAGATTTAAAAACACTATGACAAAGACAGACAAGCAAGCCCTACCCCTTTTTTTTTGGTAGGAAACAAAACAACTTTATTGATTAAAATGATACATCAAAAAGCACTATGGAAGGACAAGATGTCCAACCATGAAGTGGGAAAATAAAAAACCCCAACTAATCAAATTATGAATCACGTGAGGCTTTCCAATCCACTAAAATACAAGAAACCTGATCTTATGGGTAACCACATACCGAGTGGTGACTTGTTTCAATGCCAATTCTTTTTTTCCTTCCGGTACAGACCCCTTATATCCTTCCGATACCTTATGATTATCAGATATTCATAATTGGAAAGAATNGGACTGGGGCTGCGCCGAGCAGGAGATGCACTTGAAAATCACATATTCAACAACCAACAACAAATTACAAAGGACATTTCAACATAGGAAAAATAACCAAATCAAACTAAGCCAAGCCTTATGTCCCAATCATTTGGGGTCGGATATATGAGTCCTTCTTTGTCATTCATTTAGATCATGCGCTATACGCTCATTTAAGTTAAATATTTTCATATATTTTCTTATTATTTCTTCAATTTGAGCTACCCCTACTATTTCTCTAATACGATCATTTCTTATTCTATCATTTCTAGTTATTTTACACATCCACCTAAGCATTCTCATTTTCGCTATACTCATTTTGTCACTGATGTTTCCTAGTTGCACAGCATTTTGTCCTATACAACATTAATATCCTTATAGTTGTTCGGTAAAACTTATCTTTCAATTTTATTGGTATCATCCTATCACATAATACGCCAGAGGCTTTCGTCGATGAGATACATCATCTCCAATCTCTCCATCATATTTTAATGATCAATCCTAGATATCTAAATTGTTTACTCGTTGGTATTTTGTGATTTTCAACTTAACTTCAACATAGGAAAAATACGAAGACAAAAAACTTGATACCTTCCATACGACCGACTCCGACTCTGCCTATCATCGTCATGTCTGCCTCTCCCACGTTCTTTACGATAATCAGGACTTACACTGCGGCTCCTGCTTCGATAACGATCCCTTTCTTTTCCTCGGCGTTTGTCACGGTCATATCTTCCCCCGCTTCTACTGCGACTTCTCCTCCTGTAATCCCTGTCTCTGTACTCATCCCTATACCTGAAATTGTTTTCAAAACAAAAGGCTGGGTAGGATTAAATATAGAGTAAAGGAGTCTTTATAAAAGCAAACGAGTAAGTCTACACATCAAAAGTTGAAATTATAGAAGAAAGCAAGATCCTGATACTTTTAAGCTAAAGAAAAATTAAGATATATAAAATACTAAATAGTAAAATCTAACAAAATTAAGATGCAGCAAAGAGATATGAATTTGGGATGCAATATTAAGAACTTTGGCAAATAAAAATAAAACAAGAAAGAAACTATCTCAAAACAATCTGTTTTCTGGGGAAAATNAATACTTTTAAGCCAAAGAAAAATTGAGATATATAAAATACTAAAAAGTAAAATCTAACAAAATTAAGATGCAGCAAAGAGATATGAATTTGGGATGCAATATTAAGAACTTTGGCAAATAAAAATAAAACAAGAAAGAAACTATCTCAAAACAATCTGTTTTCTGGGGAAAATTAAAAAGGCGTAACTAAATGATCTGTACTTTAAGTGGATTTCAGATGAAACTCAATTTAAAGTTTTATACTACTCAATTTAAACTTGAAAATACAATGCAAAAGTAACAATTATCCGTTAATTTTTTTTGCAAGTGCTTGTTTGACACGTAAGAACCAACTGTGGGAACTATTAGGAGTANACTACCTTAAACTTGAAAATACAATGCAAAAGTAACAATTATCCATTAATGTTTTTTGCAAGTGCTTGTTTGACACGTAAGAACCAACTGTGGGAACTATTAGGAGTACTACTACCCACTTAAAAAATAATTGCTAAGTGGACAAGTTTGCCTTCTTAAGCTTGATCAACTTCACTGAAAACATTCANTACTACTACCCACTTAAAAAATAATTGCTAAGTGGACAAGTTTGCCTTCTTAAGCTTGATCAACTTCACTGAAAACATTCATCCGATGTCATCAACCCAAGAACAAAGCAGCTGTAGAGTTGCTACAACGGGGGAGGGGGACAGAGCGAGAGGGATTTTTGGCCGGATGTAGCTCTGACTGTCTCTCTATTCCCGCACCCCGTCCTTCCCCTTTCTCCCCCCACCCTCATTAGATATCACAAAAATATCTCATATTCTAAAACCACCTATAAATCAAGGTTTAAGTAAGTGAAAATGCAACTTAGAAATTCAGATACGGAAACCCTGGATATCAACATCTCCCTTTCTCTCTATCCCTCAGCTGGGTTTTGATGACCCCAAGGATGTGGGGGTGCACTTGTTGTGGGTTGTGGGTCATGTGTGTGTTGTGGTATGGGCTCTCCAAAGGTCCATTGGCGTGTGATGGTGTTAATGGTGATGTGGGTGTGATGGTGATGGTGATGGTGGTGTGGACGGGATGGTAGTTCAGCTGAATAGTTGTGATGGCGGTGGCATACTTTGTTCTGTAGGAATAGGAGAATGAGAGAGAGGAGTCTATGTGGAGAGGAGACTCAACTTCGGTTTATTTATTGGTTGTAATCTAGTATTGTTTTCACTAGGATTTGATGAATTTCATTTGTTTTTTGGAATTGGGGATTGGATCAGTTATGAGAGTGCTTTTAATCACACAAAAAAATTGGTACGATGAATTTTTGAATGAAGGTGCAATGTTGACAGGTGTTGGACTTCTCTATATTTGTGTGTTGGTTATGATGAACCCAAGATCACATAATTCTCTCATAACCCTCAGCAAACTAGCGCTCCAAATTCAAATATGTGGATTCAAAGTGCATTTGGCATATTCGAATTTCCAATTTCTTGAACCCCAAATTCAATATTTGCAATCCACGTATTGGACACTTTCAGGGCCAACTTCACAATACAAAAAAATTTAAACTAATTAATAAGTTGGACCTTGGCTCAAGCAAAGTCTTCTAATATTCTAATGTACTTGGCCCCCAAGTCGAGGCACAATTACTAACCAACAAAGCTCATATCAGTGCTACTTAAGAGTCCTCCCATTCATCTTACCGATAATGTTATCGATGTGGGAATGAATAATTTGCTCTCATAGTCCATTGCCCTTCCTTTATTTCGTTAACAGCAATCAGTGATCCGATTTCTCAATATTCGCACTTTGACATTCTCTTTTCCTGTGTGTATCATAATGCCATATATAAATTTGACGCTCACGCTCTGAACTTTTTTTGAAATTTTTTGCTCACTCGCTTCCGCTCTCATTCTCACTCCATGTGATATACTCTAGGGTGGACCTGGTGGTTGAGGGAGGGCATGGTTTGGAAGTGCAAACGGGTAACAACTATCTTCCTCATATGAAATGCTCGGGCGTGTGGATGAAGGTCAATGAATCTATAGAAAATTTCGATAGCATTGTCTTCCTTGTTCAGGACAAATAAAGTGTCACTGCACTGACAAAAGGCCCTTATAAAAAATGCATTATCTAATTTAGTCGCTAATTAAGGGTGCAGGGAGGAATGGGAAGAGTATAAGCCTAGCCTTCCATATTTTTTTTGCACGAAGAAGTTGCTCTCACAAAATGTACTAGACTAAATAGGCAAGGTTTTGCAGTCTCTGTGTTCCTAAGATCAATAAAGTTAGATATTCATTTCACTAAAGTAAAGCACAACCATGTAAACATGAGTACAATAAAGGAGCCATTAACTCATCTCCCATATATTTTCATTGTTCAACTGCTGACAAAGCGCTTCATAAATGTATTATTGGAGACCACTTTTGCTTAATTTTCCATAACATGAGCATTTATGAACAGAAGAATTATTACCTTGGCCGAGGACTACGGCTCCTTGACCTCCCTTTCAACTTCGAATCTGATTCTATTATCCTCCCTTTATGACTGAAAACCAAAACCAGTTAACTCAATTGAACAGCTCCATAAGTACTTGAGTAAAACCCACCACTTCAAACCAGCAAAAATATAAAAACAAAGTTTTCCAATACGAAACATGCTACAATATATACCAACCAATATAAGAATTATATTATTTTCGTCCACATTATTAC